GAGCCACCATACTTAACCTGATCCTAATTTTTTTACATCCATTAGAGTGGGACCAGTGCTTTATGTCTCAGTTGTTTGTACATGCCTTGATATTAGTTATGTATTGTTGCATAACAACTTACGTCAAAACTTAGTGGCTTAAACCAACAATATGCATTTATTTTCTTACAGTTTCTGTGGGCCAGGAATTCGGGAGCAGCTTACCTTAGTGGTTCTGCCTCAGGGTCTTTTAAAGTTGCATTTAAGATGTTACCTGGGTTACATCATCCTAAGGCTTGACTGGTGCTGAGGATCTGCTTCCAGGGTACCTCCCTTACTCATGCTGCTGGCAGGAGGCTTCGGTTCCTCACCATGTGGTCCTCTCCACAGGGGTGCTGGCGTGTCCTCACAACATGTTAGAGTCTGGCTTTCTCCAGAGCAAGTGATGCAAGAGAGAGCAAGGTGGATATCTTTTATGCCCTAGACTTGGAGTCATATGCATTCATTTCTGCACTGTGATACTGGCTACCCCCATAACCAGTAGTGGGGGCTTGAGCTCCAGGAGGCAGGGCTCATGGAGGGATGAGGGGCCATCTTGGAGGATGTTCTTCTCTGAAGTCTGAAAGCAAAAGGAAACTCTAAAAAGATGTTGGGAGTTAGGGAGAGCATGATGTGTTGGCTCACGCCTGTAATCTCAGCACTTTGGGAGGCCAAGGCAGGCGGATCACTTGAGGTCAAGAGTTTGAGCCCAGCCTGGCCAACATGATGAAATCCCATCTCTACTAAAAATACAAAAATTAGCCAGGTGTGGTGGCACACACCTGTAATCACAGCTACTCAGAAGGCTAAGGTGGGAGAATTGCTTGAACCCAGGAAGCAAAGGTTGCAGTGAGCTGAGATCACGCCACTGCACTCCAGCCTGGGCCACAGTGAAACTCTGTCTCAAAAAAAAAGAAAAAAGCCTTGTAGGAAGCAGGTGGTATAGAGGAGGGGAATGTGATCTGAAGATGCCACAGTATAATTTGTAGAGTCTTCGATTGTATTGGCAATGTTTTAGTCAGTTGTGGGAATGTGGATATTTGGCTTTCCATGTTTTTTGGTATGCTTTAAATTTTTATTTAATTTTGAGACAGAATCTTAACTCTTGTTTCCCAGGCTAGAATGCAGTGGTGCAGTCATGGCTCACTACAGCCTTGAACTTCAAGGCTCCCACCTCAGTTTCCCAAGTAGCTGTGACTACAGGCACATGCCACCATGCCCAGCTAATTAAATATATATATATATATATATATATATATATATATATATATATTTTTTTTTTTTTTAAAAGAGATGGGATATTGCCATGTTGCCTAGGCTGGTCTCAAACTCGTGGCCTCAAGTGATCCTCACACTTAGGCCTCCCAAAATGTTGGGATTATGGGCATGACCCACTGCATCCAGCCTTTTTTTGATATGTTAAAAGTAAAGAAGTGGTCACTATGGAGTGTTTATCACGTGTCAGCTACTTTGCCAGTGTGTTATTATACAAAAGTATATCTAGTACTCCTCAAAATGGCCTTAAAAGGTAGGTATAAATGATCTCTGTTTTATAGCTGGTTAACCTGAACTTAAAGTTGGAAGGGTTCAGTGAGATGATGCAGTCAGGAGGAAGGAGAATTGGGACCTGACCCTAGTTGTGTGCATCAGCTTGCACTTTTGTGTATTTATTTATTTGAGGCGGAGTCTCCCTCTTTCGCCCAGACTAGAATGCAGTGGTGTGATCTCAGCTCACTGCAACTTCTGCCTCCTAGGTTCAAGTGATTCTCCTGCCTTAGCCTCCTGAGCAGCTGGGACTACAGGCAAGCGCCACCATGCCCTGCTAAGTTTTTGTATTTAGTAGAGACAAGGTTTCACCTGTGTTAGCCAGGATGGTCTCAATCTCCTAACCTTGTGATCCGCCCGCCTCAGCCTCCCAAAGTGTTGGGATTACAGGCGTGAGCCACTGTGCCCAGTTGCTTTTGTGTTTTTAGAAGTTGTAACCATCATACCATATGGTTTCACTGTAAAGCTGGGAGGCTTTTGTGAAGAGTCATTGCTCTGTTAACCTAATGTGATGATGACACTTTCCTGGCTTCCCCCACAGAAGCCGTCTGTGGTGACTGTCTTGTGAGGTAGGGTTTGGGTTTAGGGGCAGAGGTTACCTGTATTGGCTGGGCAGGTGGTAGGTCCAGATGGTTGATGGTAACCAGCTAACATTAACCTGATGCTTTCTTACCACTGCCAGGTGGAACATAAAATATGAGAGACGAAACATGAGCAGGCAAACCCCAGCTCACCCCAGACAGCAAGCACCGTGTGGCAGAAATGGTGGCTCTGTCACTGCTTTATCTCCTGTCATTAGCACAGAGTGCTGTGTAAATACTTGTTGAATGAATTAACAAAAGTAACATCATCACTGAAACTAAAAGGAACAAAGTTGGCTGGTGGAGGAGGAGAATGTTTCAGGGAGAGTGTGTGTGTGGCCTGTGGTGGCATTAGGAGGTGGAACCTGATGTGTCCTGTACAGCTTGAGTGTTGAGTTGTTAGATGAGAGAAAGTGGGGAGAAAGTTAATGCTGGATCACATGGGACCTTAGAAGTCTTTGCTAAACAGCTGCAATTTTTACCCTAGGAGTAAGGAGTGGGAGCTATGATCCCTCTGGTTGTAGGAGTAGGGCTTTTTGGGTTGGGAGTGTCAGGAGGTAGATGGACAGGATTGAGAGCCAGGAAACTGGTTGCTGAAATTTCAGTCAGAAATTATGGTGGGCACATAAAGAGGGCTGAGGAGTGGAGCTGCCCAGCCCAGCACAGTATTTATTTATTTATTTATTTTAAAAGACGGGGTTTCACCATGTTGGTCAGGCTGATCTTGAACTCCTCACCTCAGGTGATCCACCTGCCTTGGCCTCCAAAGTTCTTGGATTACAGGCATGAGCCACTGTGCCCAGCCCCAGCACAGGATTTAGATGGAAAAGAAAGGGTGACTTCAGGAAGCTTGGGACTCTGCTTTGATGAAGCAGCAGAGGACACTGTTATGATTCATCCTAACTGGGGGCTCTGGAGTCATGGGTGCTGGGGGCAGAGGTGGGTGGGAGGGCAGCAGGCCCACGAAGGAATGTGCTGTGTTTGAGGAGATGAGAGGCAGGTGTGCTGTGGATCCGAAGCCCTGTGCAGAAACTTTTGCTGGATGAAGAGCTGAGGCCCTTGGAGCTTGAAGAGTTGGGGGTGGGTAGGCTCATGGAGTGGGTCAAGGCAGCAGACAGGACAGGGCCTGCTGGGTTGGGAGGGGTGTGGCAGGAGCAGGCATATGCAGGGATGGAGATGGGGACCCCATAGGGAGCACTGGTGCAGTGCTGGAGGTCAGAGCCAGACCTGGAACTGCGGAAGGCATCCTAGACGTGGGAGATCCCAGGTGGTTAGGCTGGGGGTGTCTGCAGGTTGCTGCTTACCCTGGTCTAGAGAGGTGGTGGGTGGGCAATGGTGGGTGTTGGTGTCCAGGCCAGGGTGAGGGCCGGAGGGAGTGGAGCACATGATTCATACAGGCAGCAGGAGGGCAGATGGTGGGGCCACGGAAGGCTATAAGAAGTCGTCTGTAGTGACTATCTTGTGAGGAGGGGTTTGGGTTTGGGGGCAGAGGTTACCTGTTGGCTGGGTAGGTGATAGGTCCAGGTGGTAATGGTAACTGGCCAACATTAACCTGATGGTGCCTTACCACTCACTGCCAGGTGGAGTGTTAACTGCCCTCATTTCAGAGACTGCCTTCACTTGCCCAAGTCCACCAAACTACCTAGTAGAGGAGCCAGCCTCAGAGCCGAGTCTGGCTCTGGAGCATCCTGGTTGGTGCTGAGGTAGTCAGCAGACTGTTTCCAAAGGGCCTGATGGGCGATGAGGGCTCTGTCCTGATTGCTCAGCTCTGCTGTTGTAGGAAGATAGCCATGGGCAGTGTGGCAACAGTGTGTAGGGCTGAGATCCAATAAAACTTTGTGGACACTTGTTTGAATTTCCTGTAATTTTTGTGTCGGAAATATTACTACATTTTCAGACATTGAACAGAAACGGGTGGTGGGTTACAACTGGCTGGCAGGCATTACTGTGTCGCCCTGTGTCCTGCTCTTGAGATTGTGGCTCTTGGACTTGGGGACACATTAGCAACCCCTGGGAAACCTTTAAATCATGAGGCCAGACCCGCCATGTCCGGTTGGTCTTGGGTGGGACCTAAGCACTATGGCTTTTGAAACCCTCAGATTGTTACCAGGGGTAGCCAAGGCCCCAGGATCAGAATTCAGTGTGTCTGTGTATCACCTAGAGAACTTGTGAAAGTGCAGATTCCTGGTAGGCAGGTTTGGATGTGGCCTGGGAGTCTGCATTTCTAGCATGCTCCAGGTGCTGATGCCAGCAGCCTTGGTGTGGCTGGAGGGTAGGGAAGCCTCGTCTTGTGGCTGTGCTGCAGGGTTGTCTCCGTGTGCTGGCCTGCGCTGTGACAGAAGCCAGCTTGCACTCCTTAGTGTGTGCCTTTACCCCTGTCCGGGGCCTGCACCTAAAAGATGAGGGTCGGTGCTGCCCAGTGAGGACACAGAGCAAAGCCCACTTCCATGCTCAGGGGCAGTGTTCCTGTGGCACTGGCTCTACAGCTAATTTTTCAAGGATACCTAGAGGCTGGCTCTTACAGTGAGTTAGTGGTTTTGGAAAATTGTGTGTGTGTGTGTGTGTGTGTGTGTGTGTGTGTGTGTGTGTGTTTGTCATTTATCATTTCCCACATTTACAGAAGTAGAGGTGAATTTGTTTTCCCCAGCACTATTCTCATTTATGAGTTTTCAGTGAGTCACAGCACTGGTTAAGCGCTACTTTTCTTTGAAGCTTTTATGGACTTATTTCCTTGATGTGGGAATGAAAAAGCCACGCACCAAGTTCTAAAGGGTCATGCATTTGATTTCACGCAAAACAAAACCCAGTGAGTTTTACAGATTTAACTTCTTATTGCACCTTCTCCCTTGTCCACAGGTGGTGGCTGAGCACCCAGATGCTTCAGGTGAGGAGATTGAAGAGCTGCTCAGGTCACAGTGGAGTCTGCTGAGTGAGAAGCAGAGAGCGCGTTACAACACCAAGTTTGCCCTGGTGGCCCCTGTCCAGGCTGAAGAAGACTCTGGTAAACATAGTGCTCTGCTGATGTCCTCCACTTAGGTTGATGGGTGTAGTGTAGCAGGCTGATCTCTGGTCTTGAAACTGTAGGGAAGTGTGTTCACTCTTCCCGTTTCTGACTTGTGGGGTTTGGGCCAGCAGTCCAATTGCGTGTGGTCACAGTAAAAACAGCCTTGCCGTCTGCATTTCCTGGCTCATGAGAGCTGTTCTGTGTGGTCCCGTCTGGCCTGTGGCTCCAAGTTTGGATTCCAGGCTTACATGATGTGGTAGGGTCAGCCTTCAGGCCTTTACTTCCAGAGAGGCCGCACTCCCCATGCTTCTGAGAGCAACCCTCCTGGTTTGGCTGTAGTCTGCACCTCAAGGGGCCTGAGTATGGGCAGCTCCTGGCCTGTTTGCCTGAGTGCTTATAGGGCAAGAAGAGTGACTGGACTGACCTCGAATTCAAGCATCCTTTGGTTGTTCCTAGGCCTTTGGCTTAAAAAACAAAAAGTGCTACTTTGCTTTGAGCGGTGGCAAGAGGAGGGAGAGTTGACACTGTAAGATTTGGAGATGTGTAACAATGGTTAGATTCGTGATATGTGTGTGCTTGGACACAAATTGTAGAAAACTGACATATGAATGTAAAAATAACTGTGACATATTTGGGTATCAATTTAAAATACAAAAAAAGTGCTGTATCTCCGAAGGTTTGGAGAGACCAAACATGAAGTGTTTCAAGATTCACCTAAAAAGAGGTCAGGGCCCAGAAGTGACGGGGTCTGGCCACATGCACCTGCTGTCACCTTTCTCTTTCTCTGATGTTTTTGTCTTGATTTAGGTGTTTTTAGATCTCTTCATCAACTATCTCATTAATCTTGAATTCTGTTCAATTTGCTCAGTGTTCATTGCAAATACTGTAGTTTAGAATAGCAAGGATATTGAGGACTTTCATATTTTCTTTAAAAGAAAATACACCTTATTCTATTGATACGCTAAATTTAGAGACGTGTTTCTTTTAAATGACTGGCTTCTTTAAAAATCAGCTGGCTCTTCCTGAAGCCAGATTCATCTTACCCTCGAAGTGTAAGCATGAATTTGATTGTGTTATATTTTGCTGAGTGCTTAGTGGATACAAATGACAGGTGAGTTTCTGCCCACAGTGTGTGTCAGGTGTGTGCAGGTTCCTGGGTGCCCTTTATCCTGACTTTGAGGTGACCCTGGTGCTAACAACTAAGATGGTGCACCACATCTGTGTCATGTGTTAGAAGTCTACACAGGTGTCTGGGCGCATTGGCTCACGCCTGTAATCCCAGCACTTTAAGAGGCCAAGGTGGGTGGATCACTCGAGGCTGGGAATTCAAGACCAGCCTGGCCAACATGGTGAAACCCCATCTCTGTTAAAAATACAAAAAAATTAGCCAGGCCTGGTGGTAAATGCCTGTAATCCCAGCTACTCAGGAGTCTGAGGCATGAGAATCTCTTGAACCTGGGAGTCAGAGGTTGCAGTGAGCCAAGATGGTGCCACTGCACTCCAGCCTGGGTGACAGAGCAAGACTCCATCTCAAAAAGAAAAAGAAAAAAATCCATACAGGTGCCTCTGTTGCTTGTTTCTGTAAGTAACAGCTGCTGCCTCTTTCTGGATGAATGGAGAGGTGCTTAGGAGGTGCTGTGTTGAGGGTGAGCTGTGTCAAGGACCTTGCCTGTGGGAAATTGAGGCGCCAGGCTGGCATTGTGCTCACGAACAGATGTTCTGAGGGCAGACCTGCTGAGGGTGTCCTCGAGAGTTTCGTTGGCTGTGCCGTGTGGTGCCTATACTTGCCAGTGTGGCTAAGCGGGTCCCGCTGCCAACCATTCCATGGGCCTCTTCCCCAGGCTGCCTTTGCACCAGCCTGCAGTGTTGTGGCCAGAGGTGGAGCTTTATGAGGGCTGCTTGCCTAGCCCCCATCACACCAGGCCGGAGCTGCAGCTGGTGTGGGCCCCACACTCTGGCTGCTGACTCTTTTTTAGCATTGGCCTCAGGCCTAGACCCGAGGTGAGGCTCTGTAGACGCATTGGTACCAGGGCATGGACGCTTACTTGTACCTCTGCCTGAGGTCTTGCTGGACACTGTGGAGTTTAGCACTCTTTTGCTGGTGTCTTCTGTCCCAACCGTAGTGAGGCTTGTGTCCTTCTGCAAGATGTTTTATGAATAGTCCATTAATAAAAACCCTGAGCCTCTGGAAAGCAGTCATGCAAATGAAGATATTCGATTTGTATTTAAAATAAACATTGGCATGTTGAAATTAATCATCTATCTAGAATTTGCACTCTTAGTTCACACCTTACCATCTTAGGTCAGTATTGTTTGGATGCCTTAGATCTTGGATTAGCTGCTATTCCTGTAAACACCTAACCCAATGGCCTAGCTGAGCAAACATCAAGGAAGCCCTTGGTTTGCAGTTATAAATATGTTACTACCTAACATGGTTCTTTAAGGAAATGTTTAGGAAGTAGCAAGTTTTTTTTTTCCTTTTTTTTTTCTGAGATGAGTCTTGTTCTGTTGCCCAGGCTGGAATTTAGTGGTGTGATCTCGGCTCACTGCAACCTCCGTCTTTGGATTCAAGCAATTCTTCTGCCTTAGCCTCCCGGGTAGCTGGAACTACAGGTGCATGTCACCATGCCCGGCTAATCTTTTGTATTTTTAGTAGAGACAGGATTTCACTGTGTTAGCCAGGATGTACTTGATCTCCTGACCTCATGATCTGCCCACCTCAGCCTCCCAAGTGCTGGGATTGATTACAGGCATGAAAGTTAAATTTTTTTTTTTAAAGTTTAACTTAAATTCCACAAGTCTTTGAATATTAGTAAGGAAAAGATTTTTTTGAAATACTGGGTTATCGGGAGGCAGAGGTTGCAGTGAGCCGAGATCGTGCCAGTACACTCCAGCCCGGGTTAGAAGAGCAAAAGTCTGTCTCCAAAAAAATATAAATAAATAAATAAAATAAAATACTGGGTTATATTAAAATTTAATGCTTTAATACATTAAAATATAATTATAAGGCCAAACATGGTGGCTCATGCCTCCTGTAATCCCAGCACTTTGGGAGGCCAAGGTGGGCAGATCATGAGGTCAGGAGTTTGAGACCAGCCTGACCAACTTGGTGAAATCCCGTCTACTAAAAATACAAAAATTAGCTGTGCATGGTGGTGCATGTCTGTAATCCTAGCCACTCAGGAGGCTGGGGCAGGAGAATTGCTTGAACCCAAGAGGCAAAGGTTGCAGTGAGCCAAGATTGTGCCACTGGACTCCAGCCTGGGTGACAGAGCAAGACTCCATCTCAAAAAAATATATATGTATGTGTGTGTGTGTGTGTGTGTGTGTGTGTGTGTTCATGCGCGCACATACATATGTATGTTTATGACAAATGCTAATAAAATCTCTAAAGTTGCCAGTTTTTTGTTGTAAAGAGATTTGATCTGTAAGACATAAGCCCTGGCAATCAGCAGGGGTACAGGAAAGCCGTCATGGGCTGGATCTGTGTCTTGAATGCCCTGGGTAGGTTCTCACAGTGCTTTGAAGGCAGGTTTTGGAGCGGTTTTCATGTATGTTTTCCTCACTTCCCATTCCAAGGTCACATAAATGGGAAAAAAAGAAACCACACAAAGAGGACACAGGACCCTCCAGAAGATCTTGAAGCTGAAGACACACCCAGGAAAAGACTCAGGACAGACAAGCACAGTCTTCGGAAGGTAATTATGTTCCAGGTTTGCCTGACCCGTCAGAGCGTGTGCCGCGTGACTCTTGGTGCCACCATTTTCCTGCATGGGAGCACACATGAGATGCAGATGGTGGTGCACTCAGTTCCTCCCAGGCTCTTATTCAGCAGAAGGCTTGCTTTTCTCACAGAACCTCATTGAGAAAGGCTGCCTAACAAAGCAAGTTCTTACCCGCCAGGGATATTATCACAGAAACCAGTGATACGTTGTTCTCCAAGAAAACAGACGTCCAAATGCTTTGAGTAATACTTGTTTTTTAGATTATACAAAACTGTCATTAAAAATGACTTCTTGGGCCAGGTGTGGTGGCTCACGTCTGTAATCCCAGCACTTTGGGAGGCTGAGGCAGGTGGACCGCTTGAGGTTAGGAGTTTGAGACCAGCTTGGCCGACATGGTGATACCCTGTCTCTAAAAATACAAAAAATTATCCTGGCGTGGTGGTGTGCACCTGTAATCCCAGCTACTAGGGAGGCTGAGGCAGGAGAATCATTTGAATCTGGGAGGTTGCCGTGAGCTGAGATTGTGCCACTGCACTCCAGCCTGGGAAACAGAGCAAGATCCTGTCTCAAAAAAAAAAAAAAAAAAAAAAAAAAGAAAACCAAAAAAACCCCATAACCTATCTATAGGGCTTATTATTCAGGGTGTAAGTAATGAACTGGCATGAAGGTCCATTAGAGATAATGTGTTACATGTCAATCAATAAAAAGTCAAAAATTCATTAAAGGCATTGAACCTAGAGTTTATAGACTCATTTAGTTCATTAGTAATTCATGTTACTGTTTACTGAATGGGAATACTAAACAAGCTGTGCAGGAAAAGGGCAGCATAGATACAAAGCCAGCCCCAGGTCCTTGTACTCCTTGCTTCCTGCCAGCATGTATTTGCCTGGTACCTGCAGGGGAGTGAAGCCAACCAAGGTCCATATATCTAAAGAGGCCCTGGGTTATTTTGTTTAGCATCTGGTGTCCATGCCTGTAGAAGACATGAGTCCTTTTCCTAGTGGAGTAGTGCCATTTATTTCACCTGTCTCAGCTGTCCAGTTAACTTTCTCATGAACTGAGACTTTACTTTGTACTTTTGTTTGAATTTCTATTTAATTTGATAATAGTTTTGGCCGGGCGTGGTAGCTCACACTTGTAATCCCAGCACTTTGGGAGGCCGAGGTGGGCGGATCACCTGAGGTCAGGAGTTCGAGACCAGCCTGGCCAACATGGTGAAACCTCGTCTCTACTAATAATACAAAAATTAGGTGGGCGTGGTGGCATGTGTCTGTAATTCCCGCTACTCGGGAGGCTGAGGCAGGAGTCACTTGAACCTGGGCGGAGGTTGCAGTGAGCTGAGATCACGCCATTGCACTTCAGCCTGGGCGACAGAGGGAGACTCCATCTCAACAACAACAACAACAACAACAACAACAACAAAATTAGTTCTGGCAGAGTAGTTGTATATTTGTAATTTTGAATAAAGCTTCATCCTGTCTTTCACTGATCTAAATTAAAATGCTTTTTAAATTTTATTTCAAAGAATGGAAAATAAATCTCACATATTGCTAAGCTGTAAATATGTGGACACCGTATCATCTATCTTACTTCTTTACATTTGTGTTCGTAATTGAGAGGAGCAGGCAGGCCCTGGCCCAGTTTTCTGGCCAACAGAGCATTCTTCTGGGGCACCTGCCATGAGGTGAGGAGGTTTTTGAGTGATCAGGTGTTCAGCAGTAAGCTAGGTCAGATTCAGCTGTAGTCATTAAGGTTTGTAGTTACCAGGAAGCATGCACTTAATATTTGCTCTGGTCACCATTTTATTTTTATTATTTTTATTTTTTTTGAGAGGGAGTCTTGCTTTGTCACCCAGGCTGGAGTGCAATCCCCGCTCACTGTAACCTCCACATCCTGGATTCAAGCAATTCTCCTGCCTCAGCCTCCCAAGTAGCTGAGATTTTAGGTGCATGCCACCATGTCCGGCTAATTTTTTTGTATTTTTAGTACAGACAGGGTTTCACCATGTTGGTCAGGCTGGTCTCAAACTCCCGACTGCAAGTGATCCACCTGCCTTGGCCTCCCAAAGTGCTGGGATTAGAGGCGTAAGCCGCTGCGCCTGGCCAGGTTACCTTCTATTAAAGCAGCCCTTTGCTGGCCATCATACTGAAACTGGTTGCTTTGAAATATTTGTGTAAACGATATACCTAAAAAATGTGTGACCCTGGACACTCAAAACATCAAATTTACATTAAGTGGGTAGTAATGTTTTATTAGCTCTTATCTCAGGAGATGATAGCACATGATAAAAAGAAGTAGTGGTGTTTCCTTGGATCTGGTTTTTGTAAACCTGAGCCATATCACATATGACTCCCAGTGTGCATTGAGCATTTCTGACATGCTGGGCATTCACCTTTCACCTTGTCCATGATCCTCTGCATCCCACTCCACTGCATCCTGTCTCACCAGCCCTGGTTCCAGGCAGATGAGTGAGACTGGGTATGAGTGCAGGGAGTCTGCCTCCTGGGGTGGCAGGTCTCCCCTCGGCAGCGCTGCTCTAGTAGTGCTGTGGGGACAGAGCATTTTCAGCCACGCCCTTCGGACTCTCAGCCCTTAATAAAAGCTTCATGATCCCTTACCTCTCTCTCTCTCTCTCTCTCTTTTTTTTTTTTTTTTTGCTTTTCTCACTTGTGACATATTTTACTGATGATCGTTGTATATTAGGTATATCTGGAGTTTGTCTAAAAATTGGAAATCCTCAGTGTAGTGTACTAGTAATATTGGCCCTGACTTAGCAGGGCTGAGTCTAACTTGATTGGGTGCCTCTTGAGTATTTTTTTCCCATGTTCATGCTCTGCTTTGGGTTCAGTGGAGAGTCTAGGTGCATGTTGAATACAACTCATATCAGGTGTCTTAACCACATGACTGCAGCAGGTCTTGGCGTGGCCCCGCCCACCTCGCCCTCCTGACAGATGCGAGAGCGGGAGGTGCGAAGAAAGAATCAGTCCAGATTGTGAAAAAATGTCTGAAATTGGGCAACCACGGATGACTTGTGTGTGCGGAACACATTTCCAAAGGAAGGAGTTTCTGCCACGAAACTTTTCAGCAACCTGTGTTCATTCACATGAGGAGATTTTTTTTCCTTTCTTTTCCTTTTGTTGTTCTTTTTCTTTTTTCTTTTCTTTTTTTTTCTTTTTTCTTTTTTCTTTTTTTTTTCTTTTTTTTTTTTTTTTAAATAATAGAGAGACACAATCACTGACAAAACGGCCAGAACAAGCTCTTACAAGGCCATGGAGGCAGCCTCCTCGCTCAAGAGCCAGGCAGGTAATGTGGTCAGCGCCCCCTCCTTCTTGGCTTCTGGGTGCTCAGGCTGGGCTGGGTGGGTGGGCTGAGAGTGTGAAAGGGGAAGGCTGGGGCTGGTGATGGGGAAGGAACAGGGCAGGGGAGGGATCCACAATTAAGCTAGGACTGAATAAAAGGAAAGGAGGTTCTTCTGCTGTTGAAAAATAAACTGTTCTAATGTGTATGTTGTTTTGAAGTATTTGGCTAAATTTTATTGAAGTTACTTTTTACTTGGCTCTATTATTTTCCATTTAAAATTTTACTAGAAAAGTGGTTTCAACCAGAAGTTTTCAGGTTTCTTTCTCGATGGTACCAGTTGCTACTGTAGATTCTGTCACCCTTTAGTACCCTGACCCTCTGTGCATGTAAGCTCACTGTTAGGACTCGTTATTTATATTTCACATGCTAAAGAAACTAATAACTTTAAAAACAATAAGAAGGGAAGTCACACTTCCTTTTACCTTTTAGTATCTTTTTGAAATACCTGTTTGCTCCCTTATTGAAGAAGTCATACCTTCCCCAACTCTTAATTAGAAAGGAGAACGAAGCCCCGGGGGAGGAGAGTGAGTGGAGATTGGAAATGGCTGCTTTTTCTTGTTTTGCATGAGGTGCTCGACTGGTTTTTAAACATCAGTTAAACAGACTCTTTTAGAAAAAAAGATTTGTGAGCGATTGGACATTTGAACGCTGACTGATGATATAAGAGCATTGTTACTTTTAAGTATGAGAGTGGTATTGTGGTTACATGTAAGACTTTATGTTTAGAGATTTGTGCTAAACTTTTTATGGATGAAATGGTATGTCTGGGATTTGCTGCAGAATAATCTGGCAGGGGGACGTGGAACCAGGTGTGGATGGAGCCACGCTGGCCCCAGGTTGATGTTTTTTTGGGGCCAGGTAGCAAGGACATGGGGTTCATTGTACAGTTTGTCTGCTTTTGTTTATGTTCAGATTTTTCCATGATAAGTTAAGCCAGAAGGACAAAGGAACTCAGAAGATTCATCTTTAGAACTTCAATTATTTGAGGGGTAATTTTAAAGATTGAGGATTTATGATTTGAAACTTTACAAACCAAAATTATTTTACAGCAACGAAAAATCTGTCTGATGCATGTAAACCACTGAAGAAGCGAAATCGGGCTTCCACGGCAGCATCTTCAGCTCTTGGGTTTAGCAAAAGTTCATCTCCTTCTGCATCCTTAACTGAGAATGAGGTAAAATAATAATAATTATGATAACCATGGCATTGGTATGAAGGCCATTTAGCTGCCCACGCTGCAGTGTGAGTAACGCTCAGACTTCATAAGCACAGCATTGGTGCCCACCACCAGTGCAGGTGCTTTGGGGCCTCTTGGCTATCTCAGATTCATGAAATGGACAAACAGTGCACTATGTTAGTTTATTTGAGCACTTTTTATACACACACACACAGTGTGTACCTGTACAGATATACTTCAGGCTTAATGCAGTTTCACAGTCCTTAAAATCTGTCTTAAGAATGTTTTGTTCTGTGTAGCCCTCACACTGTAAGAGTTCACATGGAAGTAAGTCTGTGTTGGTTCTGACAGGACACAGTGTCAGTTGAGCTGACATACTGGGTGGGGTGGAGGGCGACTCACACACCACACCTGATTCCTGTTGCTTCCAGACCTAGGCTCATGGAGGAAGCCAAAGATTTCTTTGTTCTCATCCATTTCATGACTTTGGTCTTTTAAATTCTGGCACATTTTCAGTTACTTGAGTGTTCAGGTGAGTCAGAACTACCATTGTAATATGACTCCTGTGTTCTGGACTTGCAGAATATGTGGTGGCTGCCTGCCATCATTACAACACGACACCTAGACTTCATTATCAAACCTAACTTTTTTGCTGTTGCCAAAAACAAAACAAATAGCCACAGGATGTAGGTGTGACACTTTTTTGTTCAGAGGTAGTTTGGGTTTCCTGATTTTTAGGGATTACCTTCTTAGATCTTCGGAGTTTTAATTTCTTGTCATTTGGTTCTCTGTGATGCTCTTTTTCTCATTGTAGACCTGAGTCCTGTTTTTGTCATATTTAAGAGGAGATGATAACTGGGGGCCTTTTTGGAACAACAGGGTAGTGAGGCAAGGGATGGACAGGCAGCACTTCTGACCAGGTTTCTGCCATGGTCCCCAGGAGGGATATGCCTCAGTTGTTTCCACTCATTAGAGGAGGGTAGGCCTTCATGCAGGAAGGCCAGGGGTCTGGGCAACCTGTGAGGGCTCAGAGAGCTCTACAACTTGGCCGCTCTGAATCTTCAGTGATGGTGCAGATAGTGAACACTTCTCCAAGTGGGATTTTCTGCAGTAACTCAAACCAACTCGATAGCGGTCAAGACCTGCTCACGGATGGTGGGACTGGGGCTGGTTTACAGTTTGATACGTGTAGGTAACTAGATATTTGTTATGTTTGGACACACTAGAGAAATTGCAGCAAGAATTATTTACTGAAACATTTAGGAGCTTACTGAAATATGAAAAGGCAAATTTTATACAAATTATTTTTCCTTTTTCCTTTCTTGTCCAAGTTCAGGTTAAAATCCTAGAAAATTTAATGAAAGATTGTTCCAAAGAAGAATATTAAACATTTTTCACTTAAGTTGAGATTTTTGCTTTAAAGAGTTTTTAATGAGTTGTTCTGTTATCATAATTTTGGTCCAGTTATTTGCTTGAGTTGTCACTTAGTACTGCTGTCAGGTACAATAGAGAGAACATGGTGAGAACATGCTTGTCTTGTCTGTTATTCCTGAACCTACGTCACGTTTATTGGAGGCTTTGATTTAGTCATGCATGAGGCCAGTGTAGCAGGGGTCGAGACCTGTCCAAGTCAGTGGAGCTCAGTCTCCCTGGCCTAGGCGGTTGTTCTGACCTTGAGAAAACTTAGATGAAGCATTTTATAATCATTACACTTAATTTTTAATTCTTTAGAATATCAGAAGTTGATAGATTGTTAAATACATTTAAATAATACATTAAATATGTGAAATTAGTATACCTTCCTACATTTTGAAGGTGATGCATAGATCCCATAGTGTGCATCATGTTCCTCATATGAAAACATTTAAATTACTAGGCCTTTTCCATTAAGCTACTTTTGTATGGCTTAGATAAATCTTCCATTAGTGTTCATTTTTATAGAATTATGCTGTTAAAGTAACTTTAGGTGAACAAATAAACTTGTCTATTATGTATTAACACAACTGAACTACAGTAAATGTAATGTTACCAGTGCTGAATGCCTGTTAGCATATGAGGCAAAGTGTAGTGTTATAAAAAAATACCCTGTCTACTGTTGGGCCTGATTCTGATACGAGTTAGGTGACCGAGAGGATTGCTGTTTGAGAGTCACACTGACACACACCTGTTTGGGTCACACCCCATTTGCATGTTTGTATTTACTCCCTTTCATCACATTTGATTGAAATAAGGTACTTTCAGAGGGTTGGTATTTCAAAACATGTTAGGTCATGTTGTGGTTTAAAGTCTTCTGAAAAAGGTATATGTGACAAATAAAATTTTTACTGGAATAATTATTACACGGTACTACATCATCCCGAGGAAGAGAATAGATTAAAATTACACACTTGCATGACAAAGGCCTGTGAAGGAATTAATGTGATTTAAGTGTTTTGTAACTTCATTTTTTATTCCTTTAGTAGAGCAAATTCTTATTTTTTTCGCCTTCACTGGTAACAGCTTTTGTGGGAGTCCACACCAGTCAAGTTGGATTTGAACCCAGCTGCCCTGTACTGCACTTAGAATGATGTAATATTCCAGGATGCTGCTGCAGGTGGTGTATCATCGTACACACTCAGTGACATTTCTATCACAATCATTTTATGGAAGATGTGTGATAATCTGTTTTTACTGGTATTAATAAACACATACAATGAAGAAAACAGATAACAAATTTTAAGACCAAGGTAAGATACCTAATCAAGGCCATTTAATCAATCACATTCATCTCATAATAGAAACACGTTCATATTCCAGTGGTCAATGTAGATTTCAAGTTGAAAGACAGGCCCTTCAGTCAGGGACTGTCCAGAACTGCAGCAGGGTCTTGCACGGAAGGGGTGGCCCTGTTAGAGTTGCTTCTTCTCTAGTTTGTAACTCACTGGATTTTTGTGGAAAGTGTTGGTGTTGGTACCTTCAGAAACAAACAGCACACATTAGGAGGAGTCCTCATCAGCTGTTCTCATTGCCAATGAGATATATTCAGTATTGTAGATATTACACCAATTTCCAACATAACAGGCAGAAGAGTTTTGATTCTATCTTTTTTTACTAAACAGTTTTATTATGACACTAGATACAGTAAATTTTTAGGAAAAAATGCCATTTACAGTATCATCGTGAACCATTTAATTCTTTTGATCCAAGGCCCTGGACCGAGGGGATACTGTAATCAGGTTATTTACACCAATCGCTGCATCATTTGCTTCTGTAGAGCATCAGCCCTCATGTTTCAATGTCTTAATCTTGGGAAGCAGCCTCGTGTCCTGCCCCAGGTGTCTGCATTTTTGCATGACGAGGAAAAGGCTTACTTGCCCTTCAGCTCATAGAAGCAGAAGGTGTGTATTCACAGTGCCATGTGAGTGGCCCACAGTTCATTCCCAGCAGATTCTTTGGCTGTGTCTTATCTTTAGTGAACGTTTCTGACTAATACTTTTGTTGTAAACCATTAAGTAATGTAACGCATGTAAGACACTTAGGGTGCCTGGCCAGGACTCCGTGGTTTGGTATTGTGACAGTAATGGTTATAATAATAAAAGTGATAAAAATCACCATCACTCTATTTTTATCCAAAAGTATACATTTTGCTTTGGCATGAAAAGTGGTCCTCTTGACTGCATTATACATGTGAGGATGAAATAAACCGAGAAGTGGCAGAACACTGGATCTGTGTGTGGCGCTTTAGGGTGCTGGACTGTGTGGCTGAGGGCTGGTTGGGTTGCTCTATTGGCTCTGCTCAAATGCTGCAGGATATGTATCCCCAAAGATGGCCTAGAAGCAATCTAAGCTGTGGTCCTCCAAAGGAGATGAAAAAGCTCAAGAGTAAAATTAAAATTCTCAAAAAAAAAAATCACTAAATTTAAAGATGTGGAAAAAAAAATGGCCCTGGTTCAAGAAGCAGTCACCCAAAGTAAAGACTCTACCCTGAAAGGGTTTTGGCGAAAATTAAGGGATTTCATTTGAAATTACAGCATGATGAATTTTCAGTGGGTAGCCAGCCAGCTAGCCCATAAGCAATAGACACATTAGAAGTCAGCCAAAGCGTAGGTGCTCCCTCTCTATAACGGAGAATGTGAAACCCTGCCAGTGACCCAGTGGTGTCCAGAGAGGAGCATGACATTGGCATCAGCTGAATACCCAGGGACATATGGGGGAATGTGGATGGGAATGACAGTTTTTCAGCTAGGGGTGACATCGTTCCCTGGGGACACTGGGAAGGTGGGCTGGGTCAAGAGAACTCAGCACTCTGCAGTGAGAGAGGCAGTCCCACATGTGGTAGCATTGTCTTCAGATGCCAGGAGTGGGCTCATCATAGAGGAGCAGCGTTTTCTGAAAGGGCCATCTCCTGGCTACCCGAAGGAGGCGGGGGAAAGGGCTGTTGCTTAAAAGAACCTAGGGAGGACCAGTGGCTGGCCAAGAGTACAGAAATTCATTATGCTACTAATTCAACGTGAATTACTTCATTTCATAAAAACCTCAAAATAACAATGGTATATTCTAGCCTTAAGACATTTGAATTGCTGGTTGTTGAGATGAATTTTGGTTGTCATACATGGAACCATTTTAGTCTCATTTGACTCACTTCAGACCATCTTCCACACACCATGTCTGTGCCTGGCAAGGGGAAGTGGCTCTCTAGCATAAAACTTGAGGCATTCACAAGAGGTGAAAACTTGTCAGAATATATAGAAGCTTAGGTTATAGCTGTTCTAAACGTGAAAGTACACCATTGTAATAGGGTAGCATCTTGAGGGAGTGTACGTCTTCACAATGGAAATCCTGCATTGTTTTTCTAAGACTGATCTGAGAGCTATTGGGCCATCAAGGCTTTTAGTATCTGCTTCTAACATTGCCCCACCTGCTCTCAATTCATCTTTGGACCTTTCTTCAGTGTTCATGCAACAATTAACTCTTTTTTTCAGTCATGCTGACTCTAGGTGTAGTTGCATCTCAGTGCT